AAATTACCCCGAAAATGGCCACACAAAATGCGCCGAACAAGGTGAGAGACACTCGCCGAGTGCGACCTGTACAGTGGGGCAGCACAGGGAAAGGCGGAGGAAAAGGAAGCTGGCTTCCCATCAGTTCCCATAAACATGTCCCCTTCCAATTTGCTTGTTCGCTGTTTGCTGTTTGCGTTGCCGCGACTGTTTTAGCATTTCATTAATTTATGTTTATTGTTAACACACACCAAGTCGCGACTCTGGCCAATTGGCCTGGCTGACTATTTTTGGACCCGGTCCGTGGGTCTGGGACAGATTAGGCTCTGCCAATTTGGTGTGAAGTTTTGCATTTGCTCCTTTGGCGGCCAAGTCGGCGACTAACGGCAGCTGGCAGAGCATCAATCAATGCAGTTGCAGTTGCAGTCGCATCCACGGGCTTGTGGGAGGGGAGTCCCGCGGAGCAACAAGCTGCCAACTGACCTTGCAATAAGGAAGTGACATTCGTCACTGTCTGCACCAAAAGCAGGAGCGAAAAAGGGGCACTGAAAAAAATATATGTAAAGAGTAATATTTAACTTTTAAATATTATATATTTTTACAGAATATTTTTGAATATTAATATTTCTGGAACTAAAAATAAAGTTCAGTGCACATTAAAAAAATATGAGAAAATGGTAAAATATTACATATTCAAGAAACTTTTTGCTGTATTTGTCTTGAGTACGAGATATCGGTTAAAACATCTATAATTCTAAAACGAATGGATTTATCATTAAATCACTAATACATTCAGTGATGTCTGTTAAACAATAAACTTAAAAAAGTCTTAAAGATTGTAATTAAAGGGCCCATAAACTAGGTCTCGCTATCGTAAAATAATTATAATAATTATCTTTATTAATCGATTTTTCTATATTGGATTTAATCAACACAATGTATTAAATTTTGTTTTTCTTAACGATTAATATAAGATTTAAGCAATTGCTATTCATTAGTATAGAGTTATTCCCTTTTAAATTTAATTTTGAACCTGTACAAAATATATTCGATTTTCCAATATTCCGTTTCAAATAATGTTAAAATAATAAAAACAAATTTTGGCTGAAGCTGCTAAAGTTTTTGTGGGAATTTCCCAGCCCATTTATGCTAGGCAATTAGTCTGGAGAGGGTCGAAACCTCAGTTTTCCTTGGTTCTTTTCTGCCGGCCCAGCTCCATCTGCTCCCTCCAACGGTTGGCTTCTAATGAGCACAGCCTCCGTCTGGCTTACATCTTTTAATTTATTTATTTTTAATATGCCGCACATTGCACTCGGTCGTTTTCCGCGCCGCCGTCCGCCAAATTTTACAACTCAATAAATTGGCAAAGGCTTTTCTATCTCTGCGCTCCAATCATATGTTGGCAGTATGGTGTGCGCGCAATTATTGTTCTAACGGCATTTCAAAGCAATTTAGTGCCGCCTTTTTGGGTGGGCAGCAGTCCAATGACCGCGGTCCAAACTGCATTGTCTGCCTCGGGAGCCCCTGACCCCCCACCCCCTTAGTGTATATATATTGAAGCTCCCAACTTCAGATCCTAACTCCAATTTGAGGCCTTCGTCTGCGTGCGCCGCCAGCTGAATTCCATGTCCATGACTTTGGCTACGAAACTCCGAGGTACGAAACCACGAGACTCTGACTATGGCAATAGGCCGCCGCGCACAAAATCATCAACATAAATTTACTTTTAGTGCGTCGCGAGGACGGGGGAAATATGTTTGGGGAATGGGTGTTGAAACTCATAAAGAGAAGCGCCGTTTTTGGCCATAAAATTGACAGCTTATGGCCGGGAAATTGATAAACGAAAACAATGGACGATTTAAACCGAACTAAAACTATTCATTACGATCGATAATTTCGATATTGCCAAATGTCCTAGACTAAATGGATTTAATTTTATGCAGTTATGTTGGCCATTTAGCTTTCGTTGTATCTTTACAATTTGCTAGATTAAACTGCAGTTAGAATCATTTAATTTAAGTTGTTGGTTTATTGGTTCATTTTTAATAAGGATTTTTATTTTGATTTTATTAAATTTTATTTTTGTTTAATTAAAAGAAATATTATAATATTTATATAATGAAATTAAATTAGAAATTTAAAATATTTTTAAATCATTAATAGTTATATTATATTTAAAATATAAATAATTCGTTCTTAATTGGCATTATCTTGAGCGCTAATTAATTTATTACTCCCTATTTACTTCTTCTGATATCCGCTCTTAACATTTTAATTTATGCATTTAGAACAATTTGTGGGCCTCAGCACCTATTTGTGGTTTTAATTACTTTCTTTTTCTATTTTCCTCCCAGCCACTTATCAAGCTTGGGCTAATTTGTTGAGCGCTGAGGTAAAGAAATTTTTAATGAATTTCTTTTATTCACCTCTCTTTCTACTTCAGATATGCAATGCGAATGGCAGAACGAGAGGGATAGAGAGGGGCAAAGCGGCGTTAAATGTTTCGCTGGCAGTTTGGCACGGCGGCTGGAGTACCGTTGTTTGTTGTGCGTTATGGTTTGTTGATTGCCGGCGACAACTTCCGACGCACTGCGGCAACAGCAACTACAGCAACAACAGCAGCAGCAACAGCAGCAACATCAACAGGCACAACAGCAACATCAACAATAAGAACCACCCAAAACTGGACGCTCCATTGCGGGTGGTGGTCGCGGTCGTCGAGTGGTTTTTGGCCCGTTCTGGTTCGGAGTTCGCCATTCTTTGGGGAACCACGGCAAACAAAAAGCCAGAAAAATAAGCTAAGGAACAGGGTTAGAACAACCCAAAAAGCATGCCGAAAAGTGTATTTAATTTAGCAGTTAATTAAATTTTCTACACTTCGAATAGCGCCCGTTCCACTCCCCAAAAAAATATTCATACCAAATTCTTATTCTTATGCTGCTCTTTTGTTTTAATAACTTTGATTGGTTGCGCACAGCTCGAGGCGAAGTTTTGTGGTTTCGGCGGCCAGACAAGGGGGATATGGGGAATATGGGGTATATGGCCATAAAAAAGGAAATTGGTAGAGATGACAACACCTGCTAATGACCCAAATTGGCGACTGCAGCAAAACGCTGGAAAAGCTAATGGCCAACACCTGCTGTTTGCATAATTTTATTGCCTGTTTCGCTCCCCTTTGATTCCCCCGGGCTGTTCTCATTTTCATTAATTGGAATTTCTCCGGTCCGACTTGAAAGCCGCGGCTTGTAGCCACCGTTTGGCTTCGGCTTCTTGTCTTTTGTCGCGCTTGAATTGCCACCCGTAAACAACGGGGGGAAAAGCCATCAAAGGAAACAATGCACAAATGAATTAATAAAGTTATGAAATCACCAAAAGGCTAAGAAAAGGTTCACAATCGAACCGTGTTCAATACCATTTGTATTTTTGGGTGTGGAGTTTTAAAGCGGGGGAGTGGGGCGAACAGTAGCCGGAAAACAATTCAATTGTTTCGATGAAGTAATTACAATTTGTGAAAATAATTGAGGGCAGCGATTTAAAAGCAGTGGCAGATATGTTTATCCGCCACAATTCCACTGGGTCAAGCCGAAGCTTGTCTTGGATTAGGCGATTCAATTAAATGTATTTAGCTGAATCGATTTTCAATGAATTGATTAAAGATAAGTCTGCATTACGTAACCCATATGTTTAGCTAAATTCCATATGGAATACTTCGCCCAGGGACCTCGAATTAATTAAGGTATTTACCGTCAATAAGCGTTTTAACCTGAATACACACCTGAGTTGATTAATCCCAAAGGAATAATGGTGTTATATAGCCATCACTACCAAACCATACTACTAATTGTAGTTCCTAACCGAATTTTTTTTTTATCGATTGCTCTTTATTTATTTTTGATTCATGAATTATTTTTGAGTATAAGCAAATTAAACTGGTTTAATTACTTATTAATTATTTAAATGTTTTATTCATTAATTATGCAACTAAGCATTGACACGCTCATCGGGTCATTAATGCAAAACAATTTCCGCTGTAATTTATTTATTTCAATTTCTTTCCTTTCGTTTAGACATTATATTTTCATTTCCTAAATTGTATTAATAGGGTACATTATTATTGAGATTTGTATTATTTTAAGTTGTAAGAAGTATACAATATTATCATTGCAATTTATCACTATCCTGAAACTGATGTCCGTAAACTTGTATTTTTTGACAAATAGCAAATCAATATCCTCTTAAATTTTCAACCCAACACAGAAGAATCCAATCAAGCCAAGTGTTTCGAGTGCCCAAACTTTGGCTAATTGTTGCAATGGCACTTAATGAAGTCATCAATCGGGGCAAAAGTATTTCGATTTATTTCCCCGTCAGCGACTGCAATCGAGAGAAGTGAAAATTTGACTCAATTTGGGCAAACACTTGAAACTGTTTATTTATTTATTTGCTGGTAAAAAACCAACACTCGGGCCACCACGGAAGTTGGTCGTGTGTGTGTGTGTGTGTGTGTGTTAGCCAAGTGCCAGCTGTTTTGCCGGTATAACAGTATGACACGTAAAAAAGGTAAACAAACCGGCTGATGCAGTTTTACTTCCGCCGAAGAGCGAGAGAGTTTTCCAGCTAAGAGAGCGGGCCAAAACCGAAAGAGAGGCTTCCGAAAAGGCCAAGTCATTTGAAGGGATTTAAAAAAGAATTCGGTTTTCGGAGCTAATTGCCTTCATTTGTTTGGCTGTGGCCACAAATGAATTGCCTTGGATTTGCTGGCTCTTGGCCACCTTTTTTTGGTTTCTATTACCAAATCTACTACTATTTTCTACTACTAAATGCGGACGAAAGAGTTCCAACAGCTGGAAGAGGGGCAAATGGGGCAGGGGGTCTCCATAAGCCGAAGCCTTCGACTTCGGGCCATGCCGGCGATGCACGAAAACCAGTTCGTGGCCAGCTTTTCCTCTTCTTCTTCTGGCCAACAGCGCTTCAGTCGCGAGCGTTTTTGTTTGGCATTTTAGTTAAGCTCTGCCAGCCGAACGAAAAAGTCGCATACGCCACGTTGCCCTGCGTGTTGGTTTTTCCAATTCAAATCTCTCAATTCGTGTCCGCGCCATAGAAAACTGAAATCAGAAAACCCAAAGAAGCGGCAATATTTGCAGCAGCAGCAACAGCTACGGCAGCAACATCAGTCGAAGCAGCAGCAGCAACAAAATCAAAACACGTTTTACTCCCGCACATTGAAAACGGTAATTTGAACCCAAAAACAGAAAGCAAAACAAAATTGTTGAATTAATTAAGAAACGGTAGCCTGTTTTTGAAATATATATTTATATATATTTAGTAAGACAAAATCAAAGAATTAATGACTGGAGAAATTAATGCCAGTGTGGCCGAGTGTGTGTGTGAGTGTGGCTGCCTTCTAAACAGCCTTGAAAGCTGGCTGCCAGCCTCTGTCAACCGAATAGTTGCTGCTGCAGCAGCAGCAACATCTAGCGGGAGCAGCAGCAGCAGCAACAACTGGCAACAAAAGGCTGGCAGCAAGTCACAACAAAAGAAAACAGAAGCGGCAGCTGACTTTATGACGTCGCCAGGCCTGGCGTGTTAACCTGGCCAAGAGCAGCTACCTTAGCTGCCTTAGCTACCTGGCTAGACATGAAAGCTTGTACTTGCGCTTGTGGTGTCTATCTGTTGCAACTGCAACCTAAGCGCGCTCACCAACACACGCGCCACACTAAGCCCAGACTAAACACACATACACACACTAATGCACATGTGGGATGAAATTCGCTTTTGTTTTATGATTTTCATAAATTCTTCAACAGCAAACAAACGAAAAAAGTTTATATTAAAAAGAAGAAAATAGCTGAAAGCGCGCAAAAAAAAAACAAAAAAATAAAAATAAGTAAAGAAGAAAAAGTCCCTGTGTGTGCGAGTGGAAAAACCGGTTGCAGTTAAGGTTCCCGAGTTGCTGGGCGTGTGTGTGCGTGAGTTTGGCTTTTTTCGCTTGGCACAGGGCGAAAATAAATAAAAGCGATTAACTTGAGACAGTTTTAGTAGCCACTGTCCCCCTGTGCACTCTCTCTAGCCCTAGATAAAGCCTTAATCCCCCCGGAGTCCAGCGAAAATGGGGAACCGGAATGGGAAGGGAGTTGGCCAAGTAGAAAGGAAAATTTGCAGACATTTGCTTGCCGGCAGATTTTTTCATAATTTATATGGCTTTGGCTACAGGTTTTTAAGCAATCTTGATTTTTAATAAATTACATATTTAATGTTTCGCTCTTCCTGCTTTTCGTAAATAATTTTAAAATATTTTTATTAATATCAAAACATTTCTTAAAATGCATATATTGGCTAATTTACTCTAATGGTAAGTCAGTTATTTTTAATTTCTCTTTTAATTTAGCTAAACCTTAGCTTTTTACCTAATATATTCTCATCATAATTTCATAATTCATACCTCCCTATTTAATATTTATTTGTTTTCCTTATTTTATTGCAGTATTTTCCGCATACAACAAGGATTTAATTTTCAATCGCAAACCATTTAAATTGGTTTATAATTTCCATAAATATTTGTGCTTTTTTGTGTTTTTTGAATGAAAGTGTGTAACCGAAAATATGGAAATTTCGCTTATAAATATTGATGTGTTTTATTGAATATTTGTGTCTTTACTTTGAAGTCGGTTTCGTTTTTGTGTCGATATTTTGCATTATTAATTACAATTTACGTTCATCAAGTGGAAACGGTCACAACAACAGATTGAGAGTCAATTTCAAAATACGGAAAACAAGGATCTAAGCAAAGTGAGTTGGTGCAATGTATTATATTTGAACTGTGATTAATTACAGTCCTCATTGGAATTCTCCTCCCACTGCCATTCCCTTGGGGCCTTTAAGCAAATTTGGCAAAATTTCAATTTAAATTTGCAATTAAATTGGATTGTTTTGCATCTCATTTGCTTCCTCATACATCCCCCTCCAGCCAAACGTATCTCGGGTGTAATGTGCTATCTAATCGGCATCTTTCAATTATTTAATCGGTTATATTTACACCCTCACACTCGCTCACAAGCAGCTCAGTAAATATTACCCATACGACATGGTAGCCCAGCTGAACGTGCTCGGCATGCTCGATGGGGATAAATCAATTAAAGTTTCAGGGATTTTACGACTACACTAACTAAATGATGATGCTGGCCGTTTTAAACTCATTTTAAAGGCGGACGACGCGCCCCTAAAAACTCCCCAAACAAATATCAACAAACGCGTGCAACATTTGCATAAACTCGCGCCACTCTTTATTATTATTATTTCTGCGACTGCGTTTTTATCGTTTTATGTTTTGGCCAACTCTCGAATATTCAAAAGCCAATTGGGCAAAGTTTTTTGCCAAATATGCAAATGTAGCGTCGAACAATATTTTTGTTGGCATTTTATCTGTTTTTGTCGCATTTCGTAGCAATTAAATGACAACGAATTAATCATAAAAAGGCGTAAAATTTTATTCACAACATTTATTCGCCAGCTGTCAATGCGGGCCGGAAAGTGCACAACATAAATGTAAGACGATTGAAAAGAGCAGATAGATCTCAGAAAGATTCGCTTGGAAAATAATTAATAATTTTATTTATATAATAACAGAAATTTGCTACAAAAAAAGTCTTTACAAATTTTAAAATCATTTGTAAAACGAAATATATCAGATTTTTCCTTAAAGTATTGATACGTACTGTATAAATGATTGCATAGATGGAAATATGTGTACAAATGATGCACGTGGGCATTGGTTGGCTTAGGTCGAATCAACTTGATTTATGTAAATTGGAAACCGTTCGCATAGCAAAACAAAGTTATAATTGAGAGACGAGATTAAAATGCATTTTTCGATTGGCTGTCGTGGGGAAACAGCATACAAGGGCTTATAAAATTCACACCAAACAAACAATATATTTCCGTATAATTTGAAACAAAGTTTCAATGAATTTGACAATTGAATATGTGCTTAAATATTTCTCGTACTAAACTTTTCATTTCTTCTTTTCTAACAATGCATTTTCTTGCCGCCATAATCCTGCGGTAATCCCCATTGGAGATTTAACTCAGTTGGACCAAAAATATTTTCCACTTGAATGGCGGAACAGAAATGCAATTAAAATCCACTAAATGCAGCAGTTAGTGGGCGGAATGGTTCGGATTGAAATTTCAGTAAAACCGAATCGCTTCTTTTCCTCCCTTCTTATCCTCTTGCAGCTAATTAATTTGGCATTAATTTTAATGCAATTTGCTCGCTTATCTCAAATGCCAATAAATCAACACGGGAATCGGATTGCCATAATTCCAAATGCTGTACATAACTCATATTGCCTTTGGGCTTCGTTTAATTAAGAAAAAATTTACACTATTTAAAGCACAACAATGGTGGGGAAAAAGTAATGAATAAATTGCGTAGATCAGGAATTGTAGCATTTCTGCCCTGTCGAGAGTTAAATTGAGATAATTTTTAATTATGGCCACAGTCGGACCAACGCGCACGTTAAATTGCCTTTTAAAATTCAATTTACATTTCGGTTTTTCTTTTCCGTAAAGGGTTCGGTTTGGGTCTCTGGTCCAGTCATCATTAATTTACGAGGGCTTAAAGAAAAGTTTGTACTACTTATTAAGGTATAGCAATTGAAGTACACATTTTGCTTATCTTCACCAAAATAAAGAGTAGTTAAATTCAATGGATAAATATCCATAACAAAAAACATGATAGTATCTTTATTAATAGGTCATTTAAACATACATTTTTTATAAATTTGTTAATATGAATTGCCAAATCTTCACAAATATTAAATTCTGTATATTTTATAAGAAGATCGATTTGGAAGTTTTCTCATATTATTTTGAAAACTCAATAAATTTATTGAAAAAATCAAAACGTGTGTAATTTTAATGTTCTATTTCTGATTAATAATATTTTCTGCGAAACTCTTCAAACTTCCTCCGCCAAAATCTGATGGTCTTGAGTGCGACCTGGAAACCGGAGTTGGGCAGAATAAAAACAATTACACGCATGTGCGTAAGACTTTGGTATCTTCGTAGCTGGGCGAACTCTACTGGGGACCTGAAGATCTTTGGATCTTTGAGCCCTGGGGTATGAGGTATATGGGTATGGGTATGGGTATGGGTTTGGGGCCTCTGGTTTCTCCCGCTCTCTGTCTTCCTCTTTCTCTACAGGAAGCTGCGTGGCTTTGGCATTTAAAAACGTATTAATTTTGACGCGCCAGCCCGTAGTTGTTGTTTATGGTTGTTGCGTGAGCCGACACTGATGATGGTATCTGTATCTGAATCTCTGGCCATGTCCGATGCCTCGTCGGTATTGTATCGGAGGTTCTCCCGATGAGAGGAGTGATATAAATGCGAATAAGTTACGTCAATTTTTGTGTGTGTCTGCCCTGGCCTTTGGAATACTTTATCATTTCGTTTTTGTTCTTCCTACTCCTCCATCTCCTCCAAAAACCCCTACCACTACCCCTGCCGCGAACTTCCCCTTCGCGCTGTTCTTTTCTGGTTCTTTTTTCTGGTATTCGCTCTGCGAAGGTCTACAACCTTGGGAGAGTTAAGTCAGCTTTACTGGAGGAGCTGGCTGTCACTTCAACTCCAGCGATATGGGAGATTTCTTCTTGACAGATTGCTTTACTAAGGGTACATAAGCTACGATTAGGGCTTTGCCTCCCACACAAAACTAGAGAGGCTCTAGAGAGAATATCGAAATGATTTTTAAGATATATTAGCTGATCCTCTTATCTGGAAGAAGTAAACTTTTCAAAGATCTAATGTATCTTTCACTTGTAGATTTACTTTTAAATTAAAATACAATAAATTTATATATATTTAACTATTTTGTACTTTCTACCCAGATTGAAAAGAGTATCCCAATCTTCGCCTAGTGCATTCCCTTTTGATTCCCTTAGATTTGCTGCTTCAGTTTAATTATTGGTGCATAATTAGCTGCTATAAACTGATTGGTTTTCCTATGACAAATGATGTGAACCAGCCAGAAGAAACAAAAGTTGATCGTGGAGCTGGATGTGCGAGTAAATATTTGCATAAATATTACATATATTAATGCTAATGAGGCATCAAATCGCTGACGATTAAGGGCGAATGGCAGAAGCCAATGACCCACAGAGGAATGAAATGCCGTATTGATAGAATCTCAAGTCTCAAGAAGGCCAAGATCAGAGACCGGCCAAAAGAGCCGGCTGGTGTTTGGGTGTATATTTTGGTGTTATAAAACATTTCATTACACGATACAATTGAGTGAACGCCTTGAACTTCCGCTTCAAGAAGTTCAGCGCAGTTCAGAGCGCCGAGCCAAACCAATGAAGTCAGAGTTGGCCAGCGGACTTTGTTGTTGTTTTGGTTGTTGATATTATTGTTGTTGTTATTGTTGGTAAGAGGGAGGTGGAGGGAGGTGGCACTGGAATGACAAGCCAAGACGAAGACGAAGCCTCGTCCGCAGTCATTTTGTGCTGAGTTGTATATGTGTATCTGAATCTTCATTTGTGTGGCTACACAGAAAGAAAATGGCAGAAATGTTCGATCTATATTTTTGTATCTACTAAATTGAATAACTTACTTCAGGAACATTTTAAATAAATCATATGTTGTTCTATTACTCAATTAAAAAGATTTGTAAGAGGAAGAGATTTTATTTTTATTAAGTACGATTTTTCGATTTAATTGTATTTTAAATATGATTAAAAAACTATCAAATATTTTTAACCAATTTCTGAGCTTAAAATTTGTTTATTTTGTTTATTTGTTTAGTCGTTTATTTGTTTGCCCACTCCATTTAAATTTATTAAAAACTGGTTTCGTCTTAAATTCTATAGATTTTTGGTCGTACTAATTTGATTACTTTGTACAACATTTCTCTCGCTGTATTTTTGTGTGAAGCCATGTTTCACACTTCAGAGGGCCTATCGGCGGCCGCAGCAGGCCAAACAAATTGTAAAGTCATAGGCAAGAGACGAGACCAGCCGCAGACCTCAAGCCCAAGTCCAAGAGCAACTCGAAGATGGAGACCAAGACGTAGACGAAGACCAAAACCAAGTCCAAGTCCAAGTCCATGACCAACTCCAGATCCTCCTCGAGTGGCTGCCGCGATGGAAGGGAAGGTAGAAAATAAAGTTAAGCAGTACAAAAAGGCTTTTAATTTTAATTTGCATATGGCAGAACGCGCTGGAGCGGAGCTGCAGAACCCAGGGCAGAACCAAAGCAAACCAAAGTATCTGTAAGATACTCGTACATGCAAGGCCAAGTGGGAGAATGAGAACAACTTTGGCCCTCCGCGGCAGCGGGGAAAATGCAAGTTAAATTTAATTTATTTCTCCAGCAATTGCTGAGCTTGAGGAGGAGTTCTTTTTTCGTAGATTTTTTCTTTTTGTTGTTTTCATTATTTTCATTTTTGCCATTGTTGTTGCTGTGTGAAAAATGAGCCGAAGAGGAGTTACAGCGCGAGTCTCACTCTCTTCTTAAGTGGGTTCAACTCTAATGACCGCGTGTGAAAATGAAAATGGAAAATGCTGCCTCTCCTTGTGTCTGGGATGTACACTGTACATAGTTGTATTTTGTAGTCGGCGGCGTTGGCGGCTTCATCATCATCATCATCGTCTCCGCGCTCCAGTGCATTTACCACGGCCAAGGAAATCGCGGGGAGCAACATGTGAACTTGTGAAAAATCGAAATTCCAATTCCAAGTCGCAACTTGCCAGCCAGCCAGTTGCCAGCTCTTCTTGGACCAACGTTGAGAAATGATTTACGCTTAAATAACATGTTGCATGTGGCAAGTATGTATGCAACTTCCCCCTTTTCGAGTGGCCCACGGCAATGATAATGAATTTCTACCTCCGCCAGGAAATAACTCCAAGAAAATCTTAAGAACAGAATAATAAAGAAAAAACGTTGAGTCCGGGAGACAACAGCCACAAATTAAGGGATTCATTGGGGGATTAGATTGAGGTCAGCGCAATCGATGCCCGCAAATTATATTCAATTACAAGTTGCCATATCGAGATTTCAGCAAATCAATTATGGCCCAGAAATGGCCAAGAAAGAATAAATACTGCGTGAAATTCTTGAGATGGAGAGAGAAATCAGAAATCTAATTCCAGATTATATCACCGAAAGTGAGGAAAATTTTTCGTTTTTATACAATCAAGAGATGACGACATAATTGAACTAAAACATGTGTAATTTTTTAAATCAAACATTTGACAACAATCGTTAATGATGCGGAAAACTTTGATTCCTGGACAATTATTTTTAAATTTGCCAAGTTTTTGGTTGAAAGTTTCCAACTCACCGTAATTGGTTTTCAAGTTATGAAATTCAGTGTTCGGGAAAAGTACAATAATGAAGTCATGAAAACAAAAACCAATCGGTGACAGTCTGGGCAAAAAAGCCAGAATGAACGGACAAAGGCAAACAACTTGAGGGGAAAATGCTGCGATAGAGGTGGAAAAGAGCAAGAGGGGAGTGCTG